CCCGGGGAGGACCGCGGTGCCAACAAAGGGCGACGGGGGGAAACTGAAGCACAGGGGCTGCCGAAATGGGTGACGGTTCTCCAGAGATCTGGCCTGGGGTGGGAAAACGCGTGTTGTAATGCCCCACATCTCTGCAGGCAGAGCAGGTCGGTGCCGGCAGCTCGTGGTGTCTGCCCTCATTTCGGGCACGGCAAGGGGCTGCTGGGCCTTGAGCACCCATAGGTGGCCCCTGGATGGGTGCTCAGGGCTGTGCAGCTCCAGATACTTCATGTCCCCATGCTGGTGTGGGGACAGCAGGGAGGGCAGTGGGGACGTTGGCTTTTTTTAAAATGCTGTTTGCACCGGTAGCGAAGGGGCTGGGGCCCTGATAGCTTTTCCCCGCTGGGTGCTCAGCCACCCGGGGATGCCCGGCCACCCCAGCCACCCTGCCCACTTGGGTGGCCGAGCATCCCTGGGGTGGTGGAGCATCCCTGGGCCCTGCGTGGGATGGCTCCTGTGGAGCCGGCGGTGTCACAGCCCGGCTTTGCTCGGCACTGAGGCCAAACCGGGATGGCATGGCACAGGGGGAAAACTTAGAGGTGACTTTGGCGTGGGCCGTGTCCCCTGTGGGACATTAACGTGCCATCACCCCACAGGAGGGAAGTGGTGAAGACCCCACAGCATGCGTGCACTAGGGCTCCTGTTTTCCTGGGTTTCACCTAGGAAAAAAACAACTGGGAGGAGAGCCAGGGAGCCTGGGTGTGCCGGGCTCCTGGCCCCACAGCCGTCCCTGCCGGATGCCCCTGGCTGGCCCGAAGCGGGCGATCGTATGCCCCCACGCAGGCAGGGTCTGCCCAGGGTTGCTGGGGTGCTGCCTGCGCTCCCCAGGGCTTTGCTGTAGCTGCTCACGCCGTCATCCCCGGTGCTGGAGAGTGTCCGGGTGCTCCCAGGAGGGTCACAGGGCTGGGGGGAGTCGCCTGCACCCCCTCGCAGGGTGTTTCGGTGTCTGTGTTGGTGCAAGGTGGGGTTGGACCCCCCCGCCCCCGTTGCAGCTGGGGAAGCTGAGTCAGGAAATCCCGGCTGGCCTGGCCGGATCCTGGCTGAGTCATTTTGCAGGCGCTGAGTAACTGCCCGTGCCGTGCTGGGAGGGGTGCAGGGCTGCCCGCGGCCCCTGTGGGTGGGCAAGAGCTGCCTGCTCTGCGCTGCCCGCACATGCCCCCAGCAGCTCCCCATGGCCCCAGCCTCAGCCAGCTCGCAGCCTGCGCCCACTTCAGTGCCCTCCTCACCTTGCCAGCCCTGTGCCTCAGTTTCCCCCTGTGTTTTCCTGTGGATGGGGCAAAAAGCTCCTGGGATGTGGGCATGGGCTGGATCTGGCCCTGCAGCGTGTTCCCTGGCACAGGGAACTGGATCCTGAGTGGCCAGGGTGGGTCTGAACTGGGGGGAGATGGGGTGGGGTGGGGAGCGTGGGACTGGGTGAGCTCTGGTGTTGGTCGGGAGGGGAATGATGTCCCCGAGGCAAGATTTGGGTGGGCCTCCTCCTTGTGCTGAGGGGGTCTCCAGGCTGAGTCTTGTTGTGTGTGGAGGGGGACAGAGTCAGGGAGAGGGATGGGATGGGGATGAGGACAGGAATGGGATGGGAATGGGGATATGCGAGGAATGGGGGGTGGATGGGGGCAGGGGACAGGGATGAGGATGGAGTCAGAGATTGGGCGGGGGGGGCTGGAGG